GTTGGCTGTACAAATTGGAGCAACCAAGTGTGTGTTTGGGAGGGGCCGGCTTGTGATTGTCGATTGGTTGGTTGTGGTATTTGATTGATTGGTTAGCTGAGCCCGGAAATCACAAGATTGAAGCATCAAATTCAACAATCTCTAGCAACAGAATATGCAAATGTCGGGGTCTGAATAGTTTATGAAGGGTTAAGAGTATTAATGCTTGAGGTTTAGGGTACAAATGACCAATCTGGTGAAGACGCTTTTGTCCTCGTTGATATGTCAAGAGTCTCCTCTAATTTCACAATAATTTGGCCGATGGATGGTCTTTGTTGCTTAAGAGCCGTACATGAAAGAGCTAGCTCGAATGTGAGTCCTAAAGCTTCTACTGAATACTCCCCATGAAGTTTTGGATCATATTTGGTAAGAGATTTTGCCTGTTCAACAATGAAGGAAGAATTATTTCAATTATTATTCCAAACCAAGAAAAAGGAAAAGACACAAGGGATACAATTTTGTCTAATGACATAGGTTTCTTCATATTCATATTGATAACCATCCTCCCTGAGAGGATTTGAAGTAGTACTACTCCAAAGCTGTAGATATCACCTGCTGCACTTACAAGACGGTTGCTTTGGTACTCGGGATCAACGTCGCCAAACGTACCTCTCACTTCTGAGCTCGCACGGGATCCGTCTGAGTTCATAACCTTGGACAACCCAAATTCGGAAAGCTTGGCTTCGAAGTTTGTACCAAGCAGAATGTTTGATGGCTGTCAAATGTAAGATGAACTTCAATTGGTCATAGTGAACAGTCATGCAGATATTGGTGCACAAGTACTTGACATGAACACGAACTAATACACGATAAAAGGCTTTGGTGTCGAACCAGACCTTGACATCTCGATGAACAATGCATCCTCCCGGATATGCATGGAGAAACCAGAGTCCTCGAGCACTGCCAATCGCTATCTGAAGCCTTTGAATCCAGGACAGGACATTATCTTTCCCTGATAAACATTAAAGTTATCGGTTAAGGAAAAAGCTGGTTTGGAC